CCTTTGGTGACCGACAACGAACAGGAACCTGATTGGACGAGTAGCCCCAGTTGGAATCGGATGACGTGTGGCAATCTTGGCTCCAGACGATAAGTCAAAGTCAAAGAGATCAGAATACTCCTTCATGAGCCGGTCAACTGCTGCAACACAAAGATCGTGGGAGGGATCAGAAAAGGGAAGAGCAGAACAAGATGGAAACACAGGAGGAAATAGTGGGGAAACAAAAGTAATGGAAGAAAAGGTAGAAGTAGAGGGACGAAGAGGTATAGAAGTGAGAGGAATAGATGAAACATAAGGAAGTATGAGACCAGGGGGAGAAGCCTCAAAGTCACACTTGTCATGATTGCGCTGCAACCAATCCATACCAAGAATGAGGTCAAAAGCTTGACTCAGCACCACCTGCAACGACTGCAACTCAAGCTCGAGATCGCCCACACGCACAACCAGGTCTACCTCATCCCTGTAAGGAACCGACTCCCCGAGATGTCGTAGGCTAAAGGATCCCCGAAAGCTTGACCGAAATGACAAAGAGTTCATCAGATGGGACCGAGTCGAAGATCGAATCCAAGACCGACTCTGAGACCGAGTTCGAGATAGAGTCCGGGATCAAGCCGAGGCCGAATAGGAGACCGAGATCGAGACCGAGTTCAAGACGGAGTTCGAGATCCAAATCGGGTCCGAGACCGAGTCCAAGGTCGAGTCCGAAGTTGAGTCCAAGATCGGGTCCGAGATCGAGTCCGAGATCGAGTCCGAGACTGAGTCCGAAGTCGGGTCCGAGATCGAGTCCGAGATCGATTCTGAGACTAAGTCCACATACTAATGCAGCTCAAGGGGTGAAAGCCCAAAGCGTGTGTCTCCCGGGGGGGGGCTGCAGGGGGTTCCAAAAGTATAGTAGGGATAGTGAGGTCCAGGAACCAGTCTTGAAGGAACTCTCCAGTGGTGCTTCCAAACCGACTTGAGGTTGAGACTGGGGCCGAGGGGCATTGGGTGGGAGTGAGCATGGGCTTGAGTGGTGCCAGAGGGGCCACCCAGGGAAGTGCTCAAGAGCAGCTCCCACTCTCGAAAGGGAAACCGACTGCGGTGCTCCCGGCTCATGTGGAGTGGTGCCCCACTTAAGTACCTTGTGGCTCATTGGTCCTTGCCCTTCCTAGGGGCTTGGGCCTTCCCTTCGGGATGGAAGTGGGGGGGTAGAGGTACCCATACCGGGCCATTAGGCCACGGTGTTTCGCCCCGACGTCCCGAAGCAAGTGCTGCACCTAAGGCTTGGGATTTAGAGGGTCCCATGATCAAGCCTTGTGGTACGAAGGGGTTTTAGGAATCTGGAGGCTTGGTGTGCTTGGTTGCTTATGCCTGCGAGGAGTGTAGCCGAACCTTAAGTCCAGTCTAACCCGGGGAGGGGGATTGGGAGAGATTTGGGAATCCGTAGATGGATGGCTAACACTCCATTGCTTGTGCAGTGAGTAGCTAAAACCAAGTAGGACCAAGTAGGAGCTGGTACCATAGGCGAGAACCTTGGCGAGGGAACTTAGCACAAGCCAAGGCAGAGTTGGTCGGATAGACGAGGTAAATTGGCAAATTGGAAAGGAAAAATTTGTGGCTTACAATCCCGTGCACATGCATGTGTACGGCCGTTGCCATAAAGAATGAAAATTGGTTCTGCCGCACGACGCAAGTGTAGATGACAACGTGTGGCAACAGGTCGAGCAATAGAAGATAAACTCGAACCTGTATCAACCAACACAGAGAGAATAATAGGAGACCTCTTGTTATAAAGACGAGCTTGGAAAGTAAACACTGGATGAACTGGTGCCGAGTGAACCCCTTGATGATACTCCCGAAAGAAAGATGGAGGGGTCACTGACTTATTCGCGCAAGGTCCCTCCATTACTCGCGCGACTCCTCGTTTCCCGGATGCATCTCGGTGTCCAAACCTTCCGTTGCAGCAGCACCAACAGGACATTGCTGACGCCAAGGTCTCCACCCAGGAAATGGAGGTCGCCAATCCGAAAAACGCTAACAATGCCGATAAGTATGACCAACTTCATCACATGCCCAGCAGCAAACATCACGGCCACGACCACATCCTCGCCCTTGACCTTGGACTTGAGCAGCAGCAGCATCAACCTCCATTGGAATAGGACTATCACCAAGAGGAAGTGGAGCTGAAGGATGTGCAGCGAGAAGTGGAAGAGGCGACGTCTCATAACGTTGTGCCAAGTGAAGAGCATCGTCAAGGGTGGTGGGAGCAAGTGCATGCACAAGTCTGACAAGATCTTGACGAAGTGCTGGCCACAACATTCCTAGCTTGATCCGCTCCGACATATGTGGCTCCGCACGAAGCAAAAGACTTCGGAAACGAACACCAAATTGCATCACTGACTCAGATGGCCCTTGGCGAAGACGATGCAATTGTTGGAACGCATCATCACAGTCATCGGCATGTCCAAAGGCGCGTTTGAAGACATCTGGAAGAACACTCCAATCCCCGCGAGTGGTTGCTCCCAAACCATTGTACCACTGCAATGCCGTCCCTTGGAGACACATGGGAAACTCACGCAAACGTCGAGCATCATCCCAAGAATGATATGTGACAATCACCGTAAAGTGATCGAACCAATGGTACACATCATCCCCAGGATTCCCGCGAAAGAACTCCGGCCGAACGCGAGGATTGGCACCAAGAGCAGGAGGAGTTGTACCATGTGCCGTGAATGCCGCCATCAACCGAGTTTGGTTATTCAATTGCAAGCGCATAGCATCAAGCAATTGTACTAACTGCTGCTCTAGAGTTAAAGGAGGAAATTGCTGATCTGCCATGGAGACAAATGAAAAAGAAAGAGCAAAAGAAGAGAAACGACAAAAAGCTAGAAGGAAATACTAGATCTAGACAATGCAAAAAGCTAGATCTAAACCAAAATCCTGAAAGGAAAGAACAAATGGAAAAAGCTAGATCTAGACAATGCAAAAGCTAGATCTAAACTGAAATCCCAAATTTAAGCACTCCCCAGGGACAATCAAAGGTGCTCCTCACCTCCACCAATGTCAGTGCATGGAATATAGAAAGGGAATATAGAAATGTGCATATCAATTAGCCCAAAAACCCTAGCTTATATACAGGAGCGAGTGGTTTGAATTAAAACCAATCTGACGGCTACCAAAATCCCACTATGGTAATATTAGTATATGGCATTGTAGCCGTACACTTGGCCCTCACAGTTTGAGAATTGAGTTTATATAAAGAAAGATAAACATTTTTTAATTAAAATTTTAACATTAATATTTAGTAATAATAAAATTATTTGACAAGATTATGTATGAAATCATGAAATCCATAATCTTGACAATAAGTTTGTATGAGCATAATTATATAAATGTTAATTTTTTAAAACATTAAAAATTTTAATGAGAAAATATGTGTAATTTAAAAAAATTTAAAAAAGTAATAACGTTAATAAATATTAAGAATTCTAAAATGTAGATAATTAATTTTATAATTAGTAACTTTTGAAATACACAATATAATTCATCATATCTAACACACCTAAATTACATATTTTAAGTTCTTTTTAATTTTAAATAGAATAATTTAGTTAAATATGATTTAATAACATTATAGTCAGAAAATTATTGTCATGACTATATTTTAGGAGGAATCTTAATTATTAAGGCATTTATGATTTTGGATATAAAATGGGCTATATAACATTACTTGTAAATCTTAGAATATGTGAAATTTAAGCCAAATATAAAAATAAAAATCTTTCCAACTTAGATAAATTTTAAAGTTTTTTTTAAGTTACTAAATTGCAAAGATACATATACACAAAATAGAGTCTGTTATATAATATTTCTTAGTATATAGAAGATTATTGCATAGTGATAAATGTTTATTATGGACAAATTAATAAATTAAATTGATCAAGGAATTACTAAATGATGATTTTTTGTTTAAGTTAATTCAAAAACAATAGAAATAATCTATTTAAAATATTTAAAAAATTCACCATTTTTTGTAATTAAACTTTTCCATTACATTTCAAACCAAATTATATACCACATATTAAAAATAATAAGTATGAAATTATTAAAAATCTTTATTCATTTAGTATATTAAATTTTTATTTAAATTGTACATCACAATTGATCCAATGTTTAATGTTTGTTATTGTTACTATTAAATACAGTCTAAATGTGAGCCATAAAGTTAATGAAACTTTAAATTAATTTTTGAGAGTAGCCACTTAGAATAAAATCTTTAGATTAAAAAAAACACTTCAAGTATATCCAAAAATAAAATATTTTTTCCCATATATATCTACTATAATATATAAAATTAAATATTCTAAAAGTTTTACCTAAATCATAATATAAAAAAGCAAAACACTTACATTTGTTTTTATCAAAAAAAACATGTATTATTGAATAAACCTAGAATATTTTTAAATATTCTAACATTTTGTGATATCTAACAGTTATTATTTATTTAAATTATTCTTGTATTTATAAATTATAAACACTTTTATTATTATAAACTTCCATTTGTCAATTGAATCAATAAATTATGAATACACAACTATTAAGCAAATCAAGGAATTACTACATGCAATGCACAGCAAATTATAACCATTTTGTGTGGTAACCCAAAATGAAAAATTTATAACACCTTCTGCATATACTCAAAATTAATCAAAATCATTCCATCTTTTAAGTATTAAGGTTTTTCACCTTTATACATCCCTAAGAAAGAATGGAGCTGTATTGGTTGAAGGATCTAGAAAAGAGGGAGACAATCGTCTCATTCTCTTAGGTGATTTGCAATGTCGAAGAAAGCAAGAGTTTTCTTTGTCTTTGAAGTGGCGCCTTCTAGAGGTGCTTCAATCTCCTGGCTCGTTTGATCGATTTTCACAGGTAGCAGCTGCTACTATCTGGAAGTAGATACACCTACTATGCCAAATATGGAAGGATATTTCCTCCCCGAAGAATTGATTACAATGCGTTCATGGCACAGCATATTTCGAGATTTTGTTGTATAGATGCGAAAATCAATGTTCATCTAGAACCTGATTCAAACCAGGGAACACCGACCCGGAGGCAGACAAGTAAAGAAAGTGCACATCTGGTGAATCTCTACTCCGTCAAGAATTCTGTGGAGCAAATTGGGAACTACATGCTCGACAATGAAGTTGGACTATGGAATTCTTACAACCTACAAAAGGACGTAGTGAGGGAAAGTGGAAGTTTCAAACTGCATCATTTGTGGGAGTTGTATCGTTTCGAATATCAAACCGAGGTGGCAAGCTCGCTCGGAACGAAGCGTCTCCTAAGCCGTTTGCCAGTCCTTTTGCTCCACTTGATTCTGGAGTATACGCACCTGTGTCCAATACAAACATGTCAAAAGCTTTGAAAACAAACCTCCCAGCTTGTACCATTTGCTGCAGCCTCTCAGCCTCTTCATTGAGATCACGAACGTACCGAAACAGCTCTGGCGCAGCATTTTAAACTTTTAGAACGCTCAGGAGATTCGTTGTGAGATTACAAACCTTGATAACCGCGTTTCAATTCAGAGCTCAACGACTTTTGAACAGCCAGCCTTGTTTCCAGATCATGTATCTGTAACGTTCTGTTTGAAACAAGTCCAAGATACCGGAAAGACACGAACCTTGCCCTCCGAAGCCTCCCTCCCTATTTCTTCGTTTTCCTCTTGCAGCGTACGACACTTTGCCATGAGCATTTTGCCGTTTTTACTGTGCGGAGTGAACTGGACAGCAGCGAGATCGTCAGTCAGGTCTTTGGCCTTCTTTTCCGCAATTTCCAGCTCCTTCTAGACTTTGGAAGTCACAACCTCAGACAGTGTTACCATTGTCTGGAAAAGACTAACCTTCATACGTGTAAATTCTACATGTATAGCAGGATCCAGCAAAAGACGACGAGACTGCGACCAAACAAAGTTGTAAGATCGCTAGCTAGCCTGGAAAATACACGAGTACCTGAAGCGTTGGAGGCCTCAACGAAAGCTTCAAATCGTGAACGAGAGTCTAAAGTGCCATTGCGTTTATAACAAAAAAAAAACAGAAAAAAATAGAAACATTGAAGAAAGACTTGCCTTCATCTCTGCAATTTCTTGTTCCTTGTTTGACAAATGGATCAGCATGGCAGTTTCCTTGCGCCTGGATGCTGCGAGCTGTGAAACGACAAAGAAGACTCGATCAGAAACAAAAAGAACAAGGAAAATGCACAACTCGCAACGCCAAACTTGCGAACCTGGTCTTTCACGCGAGCTTGGGATGCTTGGAGAGATTTTATATGATCCAAGATCAGCCGAGGATCTAACAACAACATACACATCAGAACAGTAAGCAAACACAAGGTAAGTTGATAGACCTGAAGTTGAGTTTTCTGGTAGAATTGACTCTCCACTTTGAAACAAATTCCTCCATTTGTCTAGCTCTCCATTGGCAGTGGCAAGGTCAGCCTGCCAAAAACCAAAGGAAGCTAAGCAATGAACTGTATCAAAGAGCTTGTGGTGTTTTGCAATATACCTTTAGTGATGCAATGGTCCCATCACGCTCTTCTAAACTACATGAGAAAGAAGCGCAAGTTTGCAAGCTATACTTGATAGAAAGATTACCTGGCGCGAAGATTGAGTATGGTAGTAGTCGCGTGATCACTTCCCGCGGCCACTGCCGATCCATAAATCTACACGCAAGATACACGATTCCTTTCGTGAGCTTTTCCTTCACATTTGCAAGTTTCTAAACCAGAGGAGAGAGAAAGAAAACGCAGTACCTTCTTTGAGGGAAAAAGATCGTCATCGTCCTCGAGCTCGCCAAAACCCCTCTTTCCTGTTCGAAACAAGCCTCAGCCTCAGAGAGAGAGAGAGAGAGAGAGAGAGAGAGAGAGAGAGAGAGAGAGAGAGAATGTGCCTAGAAATGCGACGATCAAACCTGCTCTGATGCCGACATCGCCGACTACGTCTCCACCGAAATCAAATTCATCCTAGGATTGAGCAGCTAGATCAACCGAGCAGTGGACACAGCAGCGGCACTGACCTCGTCGAAGGGTGTGGACGCCATAGCCAAGCATGGAAAACCCTAAAATCGATTTATATTTCGAAAGCTACCTCGGGATTCCTCAGCAGCTACGCGCTGACCAACTGCGCCACCATCCCTTTGCATACCATCATTTTCAGCAATGGAAGTGAATCACACATGAACAAAGCTCAGGATCATCCCGGCGGAGTAAATCAAATCATCAATCTCAGAACTACAGAAAGGTCGTGAGCGATACGTGCTCAAAGTTCTGCCGGCCTTTTTCCTGATAGATCAACTGAAACTAGGATCAGATTAGATGCGGCAAGCCGTCCCTTACATTCTAAATGACTGCTCACTTGCACTCTGATGCCTCTCTCCACTTTTCTGCGTATAATGTAGGCTGGAAGGCGTGAGAGTTGTCCAGCTCTTTCTCGTTTTATGACACAGTTCCCTTGCCTTCTTTCTGTTCTTCCTTGGAAAATTACTCACTCAAAGTTTAGTTTCGCTTCGAATTGGATTCACTTCACAAATTGATTATGTTACTCTTTTTAGATCAATGGAGCATTCCGAATTTGGAATGTTTCTTTCCTGCACGGATTGAATACAGCTCCTTGTACTTGACAATGTTCTCGCAGCAATCCTTAAGTTTTTTTTAGCCATGAATTTTTTACGTTCTTTGTAAAAGCGTCAACCTTCTCGATCAATCCCGACCAGAATGGCAACTCCACGAGCGTCACCTTCTTTGTGCAGCCGCCCCCCATTCGTTCTCCCTAGAGGTTTCAAACCATTTCCGACCATAAAATGGTCTCGTACGGTGGATGTTTAATCTAAACTCCCTTGACACACCATTTCCTCCTTTAAGCTTGTAAAATAAGGAAATATTTTAGGTTTTCACCAATTTCCCAAAGATAAGCAGCATCCTAAACCTTAAACTACTGAGTAAATTGCCACCTGTGAAGAAGCAATCACCCAGTTCTGTAGCGATTTGCCACAAGCCTCTGCTGGTGTTCTCTGATAACAAAAGAGCCTCCCACTTCCGAAATCCACGCCAGCCATCACGAGATGAAGAGATCTGAGTGGTGGAAGGAGAGTGAAATCAAGTGGAGGATTGACATCCACCATGAACCTTAAGGGTGAGCACAAAAACAAGAACATTACTCTCAGAAGTGATTTGCATTGCTATGTTTTTGAGAGGCAATTGCACATTGTGTCTCATGAAGATACTCTTGAAAAGAGTTGTATTTCTTGATTTTTTTCAACATCTTCTTGTTTTCTAGCTTTCATGTTATGCATAGACCTCAAGAGTCATATCTATTAGCATGTTGGGCCAAAGAGGAGGAATAAGGATAGAGTTGCTGACACATATAGGATTTGGTGAAAAGATTGATTAAAACTTTCCAGGGGATTAAAAGGAAAATCTAGGGAAGTTGATTGGAGTAGACCATGCATGATCGTTAAACATGTGCTCAAGAACACTCTTACTCTTTAAAACTGTGCCAAATACAATCTAAAATGAGATCTAATCAAGCTATATCAATAATGGAGAACAAAATGATTGCAAAACCAGTGTACCGGATTCTTATTGCATGGTGCCACCTTCTACTAAAAAATATTACTCATCCTTAACTCTTCCAAGTTGGTAGTTTCACTCTAGTTCTCAAGAACCTGCTCACAGTAGTGACCAAGTGAAGGGCAAAGCATGATTGATTGGGCATTTACTTGCTTTCTTTTGCATATGCTTAAGAGTTTTGGCTTTGGTCTTCATGTATACACAACTTGCAATTTGCCATATCGAGACTTGCATCTATGTATATGACTTTGACGATCCCTAATTGAAGTATAAGAAGGCACCCTAAGGAGTATATGTCAAAGATCTTGGGTTCACATATTGGAATATAGACTATGCAAACTAGCATATTCTATAGGTTATATAGACAAATACTCTCATTAGTCTTCATCATAATATGAGGTTAACATATCTAGTGTAAGTTCTTAAATTTAGATTTTCCAAGAGGTCACCCATAGATTGTTCTAGGAATAATAACTTTGTTTGAACATAATATTTTTTTGGATTGCTTCCAATAGTTTTTGCAACTTAGTGGGAACAAAGCGAAAATTCAAAGATTTGCAATCTAAGAATCAAAAAAATTCTTTAAATAACCTAAAGACACTTCACCCAACTCAGTAACCCAATATTATTTAAACTCAAAGACATTTAACCTTAAGTATCTTAGGACTCTTAACCAACTAAAAAGAGGGTGCACTCTTATTCATGGGCTTTTTTCTTTTATATTTAAATTTTTATGCATCATTTCTTGAGTTGTTCTTTTTAGTTGCTTACAATTCACTACACTTCTTTACAAATTCATGCCTTTGTGAATAGAAACTAAAAGCCACAGCCCTTTTAAAAGTTTTGCAGCCTTTTTAAAAGTTCTGCTCTCTTAACATCCTACCCTTTAAGTTGGGTCCAGCTAGAGGCAAATTGAATTTGTCAAATGTCAATCTCAACGTGTAATGTGATTTTATAGTTAGTTAACAAAATCGGACTTAACACCCTACCCCTCAAGTTGAGCTTAGCCAAAGGCAAACTAAACCTACTAAATATCAATTTTAACATATGGTGTGATTCCCCTAGCCAACTAATTAGACTTGAGATTGTTCTGATACCAAATGTAAACTCTTGAATTTGGATTTTCTAAGAAGCCACTCAACTCAATATTTAAGAATGCTTAACCCAAAATAACTAATTAAAAAAGTGTGATTAGAAAAGTGTATGCACTCTTATTCATAAGCCCTTTCTCTTTATATTTAAACCCTTGTAGATCATTTCTCAAGTTGTTCTCTTTAATTACTGATTTTGAGATTTTTAGATAATACCTTTCTCCAACATCTTTTTTTTGATCTTGATCTCCTTTAGTGACTAACATTAAGCAAGAATCTTGATTAGACATATATCCTCAATTAAAATAAGATAATTTGTTGCAATCTTAACCTCACATAACATATCAAAGTTAAAGATATTAGCATACTCCTTGAGTCAGTCAATTATCACAACACAAAGATTGTTTGAGGGATTTATATAAGTAAGAAAGAAATACAATAGGGAAGTAGTAGAAAGATAAAAGTGATAGAAACAAAGATAGAAGTTGAGGGGATGAAATAAAACAAAAATGAGA